AGAGAGAGAGAGAGAGAGAGAGAGAGATCTTTACTTCATTTACAATTAATATCCTAGATACTTGTCGTGTGAGTAAGCTTGAAGATTGTATTTTATCATTTTACTCTTTCTAATTATTTAACCATTGAAGAGAGTTTTAAAAGGATTCCAAACCTTATAACCAGCGATAAACTCCAAAGAGGTACATGTATGATTCTCTAATTAAACTATAGAGCCACTTGCCTTGTATATTAGTCCTTAAAATTACTATAATTTTTTGGTTTCTCTTAATCCAAAATAATATAGTTGTAAAATTTTCTATCAATCTGAAATTTTTGGTCAATGGAGTCGATACACTCAGAATTTTTCATTTTGTACAATTTATCATCATAATTTATCCCACTAAGATTAAAAGCTAATGAAAGCCTCAAACATTTATGCATATACTATGCTCAAGAAATGGGTTAGCCTAACTGGAAATTTTTGGAGTGGATCTTACAATGTGTTCAGCACTTCATTTGTTCATTGTGATTTAATGATATATTAACTTGCCCAATATGCCTATTTTAGTTTACATATTGTTTTGTTTGTTATATTAGCCCTCTGACATTTTTCAAGAAATGCAACCTGTGCTCCATGCATAATTCTACTAATGTTATTTGTTTCCATGAAATATCATTCCTGAAACTGATTGAGACTTCTCTTTAATGGGTTAAAAGACTTCTCTTTGAAATTATATTCAACTAGAAAAAATATTAACATGACAATAAAATGATCTTTCTCTTCTGCTACATCACTAGCTAACTTCGAAAGTTTAAATATTAACTTAATATGCAAGAGCCCCAGTTACATGCCCTCCAAGAAGTTCGCTACCAAGGTTACTTATTCTGTATCAAAAATGAGTTCCTATATCCACAAAATACCTCTTCAATATGGATTTCACCCTCCAGTCAGAACCGAGATTGTAACAGAAAAATGTGGAGACATAGAAATGTCAATCCTATTATCGTACGAGCAATTGAAAATATGATCACTGTTAAGTGATCTTAATATAGTTAGAAAAGAATCAGTGATGGATTAGGGCCATGCTTTAGTGTCTGGGTTAGACTTTTTCAGCATCTCAAAACGACAGTAGAGTGGATACTTTGGTAATCTCCTGCTTATCATAAGCAGATTTGTCTTATGTGAATTCATGCTCTCTTCCTCAGCATGTCTGACCACTGAAAATAAATCAAGCTCCTATTTCTGGTCGCCACGATAACTGATCTGATGTAGGGAAAAATGGTGCTCAGACAGCACATAAATATTTGACGACACCATTAACAAATGGGAGGCTAGCTAGATTTAAGTTCCACACTTAGGATGGCCCTGAAATCAGATCTGAAATACACATTATAGGCAAAGCGATGGAAGGACCATAACCACAAGAGAACAGTGCCCTCTCAAACTATCATATCAAAGATCTTACAAACTTCCATTTACCCAATAGCCCTATATAACAACTTTGAGCAGGTTACAGATCATAACCTTGAGTTTTAATTTAGAATTAGCTGGCCAAATTAGGATGTTTCATAGTGGGTGATTTTGAATGCATTTCAGTCGCCATTCCTTACCTAATAGTTGCTTCGATCACATGGAGTATATGTACTGAGCTGTTGAGATTCAGGCTTGGTCTTGGGTGCAGCGCTAAAGCGATAACATGTCATTTCAAATTCGAACAGTATTGCTGACCAAACTAACAAAAAAAAAAAAAAAAAAAAAACAAAAAAACAAAAAAACTCACGACAAAGATAGAAATAAAAAAACATAGGGAGATAGAAAGAGAAATCTCATTTTATTCCCTAATCTTTAGGCTAAGATGATAAATGACAATTACCGAAAATGAGTAAGTTACAAGCCTTGGTAGAAGCTCTATATTAGCTTGTTTTGATTTCATATTGGTTTATTAAGGATG